CCGTAGTCGACAACTTGAGCTGGCCAAGCCACTGCTGGCAAATATTATTTCGTCCTTCGTGGGAACTGGGGTGTGCACGTTTTTCCCCCGCTTGGCAATTCTCTCTGCCAGGCGAGGTGGCAAACTTATATCTCTAGGGACGCGGGGCTTCTGAACCCACATTGAAGCATCATCGTAACTGAGCGTGGAAAAAACAGCACTCGAAAACTTTGGTTCATCTCTGGTCGCCCCTGTTATGAATCGGGCCAGTCCATCCGCTTGCGCCCTGTGGTGGCTGACGCAAGCTCGGTATTCAAAAGAATGGCTCTGCCCCCGCCGTGCCCTGTTGAACCCAACCCTTTCGCCGTCGATCAGGATAGATCTTTGATGCCCACTGTGCAATGCACCATCCCCGAATACTGTCTGGACAACACTCTTCGCAAATTCAGGCCTCAATGTGTTCGCCATCAGATCGTTAGCTCGACGTTCGTCTCGAAGTTGCTGCTTCCTCCTGCCTAGTGATATCCTCTCACGGACGCGATCGCTCCACTTGGACCCACGAGCTCGCCCGCGGCCCCCTGCGCGTCCTCGGGCGCCTCCGCGCCTGTGGACATGGCCCTCTGGGGGCTCAGGGGCTCTGGCCTCCTCGGGAGCTGCTGAGGCGGACTCCTCGGGGCCCTCGTCCTCGCTGGCCTGCAGATCCAGCAGACCATCAAACATGTGTCATGTGGACCCTCGAAGACCTGGTGAAACCAAAAAAGCACATGCTATGCTGGGCCATAAAGCCAAAACGGCTATGGGACTGTGCAGGTGGGGTTTTGTTTGACGTCGGTTTTGGTATCATCATTGGCAACGGCGAATGCCCGAACACTTCGATAGTTTCTCTGCGAGAGGCCACCGACCAGGGGCGTTGGTGTCGGGTGATGTAGACTACACGTGGCTATTTTACGTGGGGTGCCCGAGACCCCTATATTGACGATACATCTTCGCTGGGAAAAAAACATGACTAAACAGAGATCGGCGAGGGTGCAAGATGAGATGCATGAGAAATTTCTGGGGCATGTGAATTACGACTATTTTTTGGGGGACCTTCGACAAGGGCGCGTCCGATCAACCCCGCTTAGAAACACCCCCAAACTTGCTCAAACTACCACCTGGGACAATGTCTTAACAAGCCAGGGGACGTGCCATGGGCACGCACCGCGGGACGTGCCAAGGGGACGCGCTACGGAACGTGCCAATGGACGTGCCGAGGGGCGTGCCAGGGGACGCGCCGCGCGACGTGCCAGGTGGACTCGCCACAGAACACGCCAAGGAACGTGCCAAGGTGCATGGTCGAGAGTGTCGATCTCGATGTACCGTGCCGACGGCTGTGCTGTGCTGGGCCGTGCTGAACTGCGATGTGCCATGCCGCGATTGTGCTCTATATAGCGTTGTGGATCGAGTCCTCCCTGGCATCCGAGTCCTCACCGAACTGATCTGGAGCGTAAGCTCGAGCTGCCTGAGCAGATGGTAGCTGCCCCAGAACTAATCGACAGAGGGAACATGCCAAGAGGACGCGCCGCGGAACGTCCCAAGGGACGCGCCAGGCGACGTGCCAGGGGACGTGCCATGGGCACGCACCGCGGGACGTGCCAAGGGGACGCGCTAATTACGGAACGTGCCAATGGACGTGCACCGCGCGACGTGCCAGGCGGACTCGCCACGGGACGCTCCGCGGAACGTGACAGGCAACATGACAGGCTGCAATGCTAAGGGTATCGATATTGATGTACCGTGCCGAGGGCTGTGCTGTGCCTGGGCGACCTGGACACGTGAAAACACGCGTTTCGCTCAAGACGTTGTCAGCACATCCTCATGCTAGACATCCGCCTGGGCAACCTGGACACGTGCAAACAAGCGTCTCGCTCGAGACATCCTCAACAAATGCTCATGCTAGACATCCGCCTGGGCGACCTGGACACGTGAAAACAAGCCTCTGGTTCGAGACATCCTCAACAAATCCTCATGCTAGACATCTGTCTGGGCCACCTGGAGGCGTGAAACCAAGCGTCTCGCTCGAGACATCCTCAAGACCTGGGCACGTGAAAACAAGCAATCCACTTGAGAGATCCTCAGAATTCAAGCCCCCATGAGAAGACAATCTACAACACAAAACAAGCGTTTCGCTCGAGATATCCTCAACAAATTCTGAAAAACAAAAAAAAGTTTCGCTCGAGACATCCTCAAATTTTAATTCGCCGGCCCTGCGCGACCTCGTTATTTATCGTAGAATAATTTCGCCGGCCCTACAGCCGTCGAAACCGGGGGGAACCAACTAAAAGAGAACCCTGGGCTCGAGCCCTTTCCGGGAAAAACGCGGCTTGCCTCCCCCCCGCCCTCCCCCCCCCAGACACCGCAGAATCAGAAAGGGGCAACGCACGGCGGACCCATGAACGAAGCCGTTACGACGGGACCGCACTCCCAAGGCCACGATCTCTCGTAAATTACGCTGCGTCCGCCCTGCCTGAATTACGATCGCTCGTAAACTACGCTGCGTCCGCGCTCCCAAAACAACGATCCATTGTAAATCACGCGGCGTCCGCGCTCCCGGGGCCGCGATCCCTTGTAAATTACACGGGAGTCACGCTCTCAAGGCCGCGGTCCCCTGAAAATTACATTGGATTCGCGCTCCCAGGGCAACGAGCCCTAGGAAACTGAACAGGATTCACGCTCCAGGGCCACGGTCCCTCGTGAACTACATTGGGTTCGCGCTGCGAGGATCAGGATTCATTGTAGATTACTGTGGGTTCGCCCTCTCAAAATCCAGATCTCTTGTAAATTATGCTGCGTCCGCGCCACCAGCGCAACGATCCGTCGTCAATGACGCTGTGTCCGCGCCCCCAGGGGCAGGATCCCTAATCCATTACGCTGTGTCCGCTCCCCCAGGGGCATGAACCCTCGTAAATTACGCTGCGTCCGCGCTCCCAAGGCCAAGATCATTTCTAAATTACGCGGCATCCGTGTTCCCAAGGCCACGATCCTTTGTAAATCCGCCAGCCCCCTTGTGGGGCCACCAGGCTGTAGGCGCGAGGTTCGCAGTTTCCTGTACCAGTCGTAGGTTGTAGTTTCCAGTGTTACAGTTCTGCTTCTTGCTGGTTACTGTAACTAGTTGATTGACCGCGCGAGAGGGGGGGGGGAGGCCCAAACGGGATTTTTTAGCACCCCCTGGGCGCGTTGTCTGAATTGCTGGGGGGGCTCGAAATCGACACCCCTCACGCAGATCCGCGGGGTCAGGGTCCAAAAACACAAGGGGATTTGCCACATTTCTGAAATTCGGTGCCACCCCTCACGCAGATCCGCGGGGTCAGGGTCCAAAAACACAAGGGATTTGCCACATTTCTGAAATTCGGTGCCACCCCTCACGCAGATCCGCGGGGTCAGGGTCCAAAAACACATGGGATTTGCCACATTTCTGAAATTCGGTGCCACCCCTCACGCAGATCCGCGGGGTCAGGGTCCAAAAACACAGGGATTTGCCACATTTCTGAAATTCGGTGCCACCCCTCACGCAGATCCGCGGGGTCAGGGTCCAAAAACACATGGGATTTGCCACATTTCTGAAATTCGGTGCCACCCCTCACGCAGATCCGCGGGGTCAGGGTCCAAAAACACATGGGATTTGCCACATTTCTGAAATTCGGTGCCACCCCTCACGCAGATCCGCGGGGTCAGGGTCCAAAAACACATGGGATTTGCCACATTTCTGAAATTCGGTGCCACCCCTCACGCAGATCCGCGGGGTCAGGGTCCAAAAACACACATGGGATTTGGGTCCAAAAACACATGGGATTTGCCACATTTCTGAAATTCGGTGCCACCCCTCACGCACATCCATCGCAAGGCGTGGTAACCCAAACTGCGAGTACTCCCTCGGCCCTTTAATCCCAAGGTGTGGTAACCAAGCTCGTAAATCATACACGTCTTACCAATCGCCCTGTGTGGTAACCCCTCTTGTGATCAGTTGGTTTTGCCGATTGCGAATCGGCCTCGCATGAAGTTCCGATACTGCTGCACGACAGCGCCAAAGCCTCATGACTTAGCTCTTCCATAGCCCATTCTCCGAGAGAAGGGGGCCGGCGGCAGGGGGCGAAGCGCTTACGGATAACGGTCCGACCGCACTGCCAGAACCACCTGGGCATCCTGGGGTGCCCAGGCCATTCAAGCGCTGCAGAACAAGCGTTTCGCCAGAGACATCCTCAGATATTCGGCTCGCAGGGTGCGCTATCCTCGAGCGGGCACGCAAAAAGCCAACCTTCCTTCTGCACAAGAAGCGCGGGTCTCGAGACATCCTCGAAATTCCTGCGCGCGTGACGCGCCATCGTCGAACGGGCACGCAAAATGTGTCTTTCAAAATTTGAATATAATTCGAAAGTCTCCATACCTCACAACGCTCCACACCTGTTTTTTACAAGGGAAAACGTGTGTCTGGGGACCCTGTTATTTTTATTGAGGGTCCGAGATACGTCAGAGGCACATGTTCCTCGAGCGGACACGCGCGATGCACATGTCTTTAAAACAAAATCAAACCTTACCTCTTTATTCATAACAGATAAATTCGTCGGACCCCTTCAAGTCGAAACCAAAGGTAACACCTCTAAAAGAGAACCGTGGGCCGCAGCCCTTCCCGGGAGAATCAACGAGCGTGCTAAACAATGTGTTGCGTGCTCGTTTTGTTTTCGCATTTCGACATTATGCGTTCGTTCTGCCCTTGATGCAAAACGACACCAAAACAAAGACGGCACACGATATCGCCAAAAACGCAATAGCTAGCGCCCTGCCACAAATACCCTGGTCCAAGGTGGCCCCAACTGATCTATGGAGGCTGACATGGCCTCGAAAAATACCACGAGGCCCAAAAGGCCGCGCAGGCCCACAATGAGCCGAGTCGAAAAGCCCAATACGCACTGGGCCAACACTACCTCTGGCAGCACCCAGCCGAATGGGGGCCTGCGGTGGGCGAGAGAGGGAGCGGCGAGGCAGCCTCGAGCTCCGCGTTCATGGCACGCAGCGCCTCGGTCGAACCGGCCAGAACGGCAGCAGCGCACTCACATAAAATTAGGGGGGAAGAGAGAGAGAGAGAGAGAGAGAGAGAAAGAAAAAGAGAGAGAGACAGACAGAGATAACGACGACCACAGGGGTGAGGGGGGGCGAGGTCCGCGCCGCAAGTCCAGCCCGCAGGCCTTGACTGAAAGGAACCGTGCCATGGGCGCGGAGTCTTCGTCGTCGTCGTCGTCGTAGTCGTCGTCGCCGTCGCTGCCGCCGCCGTCACCTTCGCCGTTAGATGAGATCGAAGAGAACAAACGGACGAAAGAAGGGGAGGCAAAGGAGGGAAGAGGAGGGAGACACAAACTGTTTGGATGGCAACCGCTTGGCCTCCTGGTTACCTCAAGTGTGCCGAGGGTATCAACCGAGAGGCGAGGAACCGACTTCGATTCAGGCAGGGCCGCCCCCCTCCCGAGCAAGAAAGGGCTGGCACCGAAGGCAATGAATATGGTGAAAACGAACGATAGTTGCGCACATTATACAAACATGATCGACCCGCGAACCCGGAAAGGAATCTAGCAATGTGAAACATAGCGACGTTTCGAAAACACCTGATTGGGCGACGGGCAAATGCAATACTGCGTATATCGATCTTGATGTACCCTGCCAAAGGCTGTGCTGTGCTGCGCCGTGCTGAATTCAGATGTGCCATGCCGCGATTGTGCTCTATAGCGTTGTGGATCGAGTCCTCTTTTGCATCCGAGTCCTGACCGAACTGATCTGCATCTTATGCTCGAGCTGCCTGAGCACATAGTAGCTGCCTCAGAGTTAATTGACGCGCCGTGGAACGTCCCAAGGGACGGGCGACGCGACGTGCCAGGGGACGTACCATGGGGACGCACCGCGGGACGTGCCAAGGGGACGCAGCACGAAACGTGTCGATGGACGTGCCACGGGACGTGCCAGGGGACTTGCCGCGCGACGTGCCAAAGGGACTCGCCACGGGACATCCTCAAACTACACATCCGCCTTGGCAACCTGAACACGTGCAAACAAGCTTCTCGATCGAGGCTTCCTCAATGCATCCTCATGCTAGACATCCACCGGGGCGACCTGGACGCGTGGAAACAAGCGTCTCGCTCGAAACGTCCTCAAGACCTGGGCAAGTGAAAGCAAGCATTTCACCTGAGACATCCTCTGCATTCTGGTCCCCAGGAAAGGAACACTCTATAGCACAAGCGATTCGCTCGAGACATATTCTTCCCGCCTGGTCATTCATCGAACAAAAAATGTCCCCAACCCTCTTCCCGTCGATTCTGGGGGTGAACCTACTGAAATAAAACCCTGCGCCCGCGCCGTCTGCGGGAAAATAAGACCCTGGGCCCGCGCCCTTTCTGGGAAAAGAGAACAACTAAACATCGTTGTGTGTGGGTGGGAGGAATTGTCTACTGATTCCTATTGGTTTCCGCCTGAGTGGACCCCAACATCCTGAGTGAGGGTCTGCTTTTCCCAGGACTCGCAAGGCTCTGAGCCAAAGTGGCTCTGGTCTCTCTCCGTTCTTGACGCAAACTGTGGCATTCGTTCTGAATTGCATACTAACATGACTGGCTGACTATATGATATCGGGGGCTGGAGACTCGCGCACCTCATCGCCGCGGCCACCTCAAACCGCGGCGGCCACCGACAGCCCGCGTGACTAGCCTCTCTTTGGGCCAGCCCCTAGAAACTTTCAGCGCGCAACCATGTCCGAGTCGTTGCCGTCGACCTGGCCCTCGTCAGCGACCCCCGACCCTCTCAGCCGAAGCCCCCCCGCCGCCGCAAGAGCGGGTGGAGGTGGCGCCGCGGCCGAGGACCCCGCCAGACAACATGCCCCCGGAGATGCTGGCCAGGCGCAGCTTCGACATCAGACCCGCGCGGGCCCCCCGCGCGCTGGCGCGGCCGCCCGCGGCGCGGGCCCCACCGCGGGAGCAGGCGCCGCCGCCGGGGCGACAACTGCCGGCGGCACGGGCCGCGGCCCCGCCAGAATGAAGGGGGGCCGCGAAGTCCCCCGCCAGCGCCGCCGCGGGACCCCCCACCCGGCCGACGGCGGGACAGGCGCTGGGGCGCCCTGCCGCCCCCGCCACCGCGCCCAACCGCCGCCGGGGCGGTCGCAAAAGCTGGCGCCGAATGGGCGGCCGCTGGGCCCCCTCCCGGCTCCGAGGCGACGGAGCGACGGACGTCCAGGCTGCGCTGGCTGGCCCGACGCCCGCGCTCGACGGCGCGGCCCGGTTCGACCCTGCCGGGGTCGCCGATCGAGCGGCCAGCGACTCCAAGCCAGGCGGGGGTGGGCTGGCCCCAGGCCGCCGGAGGGTGGAGCGAGGCCGACATCCAAGCGGCAGAGCGCGCGGCTGCCACCGCCGTCGCCAGGGGCGCCCCAGCGCGCCGGAGCAGCAGCGGTCCGCTGGCGCACAACCAACGGGCGCGTCGGCCCGTGGCTCCCGGCACCCGGGGTGGCCGCGGCCAAGCGCCCCCGCCCCCCCGGCGCCCATGGGCGCGGCCGAAGGCCTCAGGCACGAGAAGAGCGCCGAGACCCTCTGGGTCTCTTCCCCGCGGGAGATGAAGGCGGGGACCGCCCGCGGCGCGCTGGGGCGACGCCCGCTGGCTGCTCGCCGCGCCGCGCAGGCAGCGCCCCGATCGGAGGCCAGCTCTACATCGACGACCTCGAGAGCGCGAAGGTCCAGCTGGTGCTGGAGGCAGTCGCGGACAGCACCTGCACGGTCTACAGCTGGGCTGGAGGCAGTGGATGAATTTCTGTCGGATCCGAGGGCGGCCGCCGATCCTCCAAGGGGGGGCGGCCACGGCGGGCAAGCGCCGCAATGACAAAGAGAGCTGCTGCTGTTGATTTCGCACCTGAGCGCGACCATGAAGAAGGCGTTGGGCACGGTCTAGCAACGCCCCTTCGGCATCGACCACCCGCGCGGGGCGATCGGAGTGGGGGGCCCGCTCGCTGGGAAACCGCGCGTCTGGCCGGCTAATGGGCCCGCGCGATTCGATGGAGCGCGCCCCCGGAAGCTGCCCACCGCAGCGCGCGCGATGAGGCCGCGCGCCCCGGCCACCGTGCCGGGCCGCGCCGTGATCTGGCACGCGCTGGCCACCGCTTCTTGTTTCTTCTTGATGCGGTTCGGGGAGCGCGCGCGAAGCGGGGGCCGGGGTCGCAGCGAAGCACTGCCGGGCGACGACGTCGCCGCGCGCGTCGAGGGGCGACCCACGTCGAAGCTGAAGGGGGCCAACGAGGTCATCGTCTGGATTCAGGGGTCCCAGAGCTAACCAGCTACAAGCAAGGGCAGCGCGCAACCACTACCGCGCTGGCGAGGTTCTGCGCCTGGCGCCGGCGGCGGAGCGGCTGCGTCGGCACTTCCGCGACCGCTTCGCGACCGGGAGACATCTCCCACTCTGCCGCCGGCAGGGCGGGGCGCCCGCGAAAGGGGGCAGCTGCAGGAGGAGCTTGAGCAAGTCGCGAGGGAGGAGGACCTCCCAGCCGACCGCGCGAGGACGCACTCCTTGCGCATCCGAAACGCCACCGCCCTCTACCACATCTACCCGGACGTCGAGCTCATCAAGAGGCTCGGGCGGTGGACCAATACCTGCGGGGGCCGAACGAGGGCGCGAAGAGCGTGGCAGCTGGCACGGCAGGATGCGCGACCTCGCTGCGCGTCTGCTGCAGGCTGACGAGGACGGGCAGGCCCGAGGCGCACCGCCGCCAGGGGCCGATGGGGCGGGGGGGCAGGGCGCGTGGACGGCCACTGCTCGCGCCCGCCACGGGGGTGGGAGCGGCGCCGAGAAGGGGGGGGGGGGGGGGGGGTGCGAGCGCTTCCCGCGCCCCCCCGGCCCGCCAGAGCTCGCCAGCCCCACTGCTCACACGGCGAGAGAAGAAACCCGCGAGAACGCTGCATTGGGGCGAGGCGCGTCCGCTTCAAAGGAGGAGGACGCAGACGCCGCCAAGGACGCAGCCCCGCAGCCGCACCAACAACGGAGGAGGCCACCCCGCAGCCGCGACCGCAGACGGGGGCCGCAGCCGCCCCCCCCCCGAGGGCGCCAGCGGCGGCTTCGCCAGCCCCCGCACCAGGAGCTAGGGCGGACGCCCAAGGAGAGCTGGGCGCCCATCTGCCAGTGCTGGGCGCCTAGCGCAGCAGGGCTGGAGGGGCCCGCGGCCGCGGCGCCGGCGGCGCGCCCCGCGCCGCCTGGCACTAGACATGAAGCTGCGCACGGCAAACAGAAAGTGCTTGGCGTCTATCAGCCAGCGCTGGGCGGGGCCGGATGGGCCCGCGGCTGCGACGCCAGCTGGCGCCCCGCGGGCGCCGAGTGGCCCTGCTGGGCCAACTCGGCATGTTTTTGCGTCATGTGAGCTGCGCCGTTTCAACTCGGCAGTTCGGCGCGGTAGCTTAGAACGCAAGGTGCAAAGGCTAAGAGGCCAGGGAAAGTGGGAGGGGCGCTCGAGCTTTTGGGCTCGCAACGCGCGAGTCCCTCGCTCATCGAAGGCCCACCCGACCCACTCGTCTAGTTTGCCCCCCCCCCCCCCCCCTCTACCCCCCGCGCCGCAGGGGCCTGGGGGGGAACGGGCGCTTCCGCTGCCGCAGGCCGGGGCGCGGGGCCACAGGGCTCGCGCCTCTGGCTGCCAGGGGCGGCGCGAGCTGCCGCCGCGCTTCCGAACAAAAAAAATATGGGGGCCCCGCGGGTCCGCCCCCCCCGCGGGCGCCGAGTGGCCCTGCTGGGCCACCTCGGCAAGTTTCATGCTTTCCGTGAGCTGCCCGTTCTCTGGCACGCCTGACGTGGTATAACACCTGCGCTGCGACCGTGATCCGCTTGAACCCTGACCTCGCAGGCGCATCGATGGCGCGCTCCTGGAGCTACAGCGCTACTCCCCTCGCGCCGCACATGGCATTTTCTCAGCTGCCACGCGCAGCGTGGGCTTTGGAGAGCCCGCGCAGATGTCGTCGCCCAGCGGCGCGCGGTGGAACGCGAACGACGCGTCGCGCAGCGCCGCCGGCC